TTGAAGTGTTAACATGTAATTTAAAGATCGCAAAATAAACGAGAAAAAATTAACCAATAACACAATAGATAGGTCTTGTCCCTGATGAAGGTCGGGTATATTTGAACTGCCACTGAAAAAAGAGAGTCAACTGTTTTAGGACAGATTTTTTACCTTGCAACATACACCTATGGACAAATCAATGAGTCGATGCAGAGTTCTGAACATACAAAGAGTGTGGTACTCTCTCTCTATCTCTTAAAATGCATAGAATTTGACATTCCCATTCTGATCGAACGTTGATGCGTACTTATACATCCCACATACATGTATGCAAGCGGATGGCTTGACATTGGTTTTAATTCTGGTCTAAAACAAATGTTTGCTGTCACCAAATACTTCCCATAACACGGACAGTAGTGTATCAATACATTATAAGCACAAACTGTAAAAATAAGTCGAAAAGGGATCATCTCAAAGTCACTGTGTAGCATCATATCCGAATATAGTAACTACAAATATAGTTACCCCGAAAGCAAACTTTAAGAAACAATAATAGCAAAAGTATCTTTTATTTTTTCCGTACAGTAAACACATTTTTATTGTACAATTTTATTCGCTATTTTAATATGAATAACACAATAGTTAATTTCGACATACAGTGTTGTTCAAGCTTTATTATGATACGTTTAATCGACAAAACGTCAAATAAATAGTTAATTTATAATGTGTTATAAACAAGTTTAACTCGTTGACAGTTGAGTTTAATTGTATCACATGGTTCGATTCTGACAATTTAAACAAAGAGATAGCCAATTAAGGATCTTAGCTATCATAATAACTTGAATTATTAGAAATCAGTATCACAAAAACTTACTTGTCAGCATATCGGAAAATTTTATAAAAAAAAATGTACCTCAATTCAAATATTGAATTGTTCCCACCTCTTCCGAGGTACTTATACATGGGGGTTATGCTACACAGTAAAGATATAAAGCACTAATAACCCAAAAGCATAGAGACAGTTATAACGGAACTAAAATTACTGACAGTTACGGAAAGAAATTCAATGCCACTTACACCTGATATCAAAATGTATCTAAGATCATGTAGCCTACATATACCATTTCAATTTAATTTCGTTGATTTTCCTTACTGAGTGAACTGTTGAATGACCATATTGGAATCAAATTATTCGTTTTTTGTTGTGAATTTACTCAATATGTTAATATAAGTGTGCAAATCGGGTATGGTGTCCTATTAATACATATATTCTTGTTTCAATCAAAAAAAAAAATACCGTATATGTAAATAAAAAAAAAAGTTATTGGAATTTTTTTCGCTTATCAAATATAGAATAAGGAGAAATGGAATGAATGACAATGAGACAACTATCCACTAAAGTTTAAATGAATTTGGTGTAAGCATTTAAAGGCAACCATATGACCTTCAGGAATGAGAAAAATCCATGTAGTTGGCTACAAAAAGGCCATCAGGAAAAAAATTGATTGATAAAACCAACGGCCAACTGAAAAAAATTTTTTTTTTACGAAAAATAAATATGACAGACTTGAACAAACAAAAACCACTCAACTACAAACTCCTTAGGTGAGGACAGGCACAACAAAAATGTGGCGGGGGTATACATGTTTGTGAGAACTCAACCATCCCCGGACCTAGGATATTGGTCTAACAGCACAACATAAAAACAAACAAAAAAATCAGTAAGAGAAGGTTTAACTTATCTGATCGATGCAAAGAAAAACAGAAAAAAAGGTGGCAGGATATATATATATCCATTATCCCTAACAAGAAGACAGATACATGAGAACTCACAGTTACTGACAGCTAGTTCAAAGCCAATAACAGCTAATTAAAAAAAAAATATGTATCTAAGACGAATGAAGGCAACAGTAGTACATCGCTGTTTGAAAGTCATATATCGATTGAGAGAAAACAAATCCGGATTGCAAACTAAAACTAAGATAAACACATCAACTATAAGTGGAAGACAATGACACAACAGAAACAATACAGGGCAACATAAACACGACAATGCAACACACAGAGAAACGAACTATAAGATAACAACTGCCATGTTCCTGACTTGGTACTGGACATTTAAAGAAATAATGGTGGGTTGAACCTGGTTTTGCGACGAGCCAATCATCGCGCTTTATGGAAATGTTAAATATAACACTAAAATGACAACAATACATGACAAGACTACAGTACAAATAAATGCAAGAACATTCAGACAGATAAATACACAAATAAATATTACAATAGAACATTTCGACATGCTAATAGTTATCAAAGGTACCAGGCTAAAACATTATTCAGTAAACATCCATCATTCAAAACAAAAGCATTGTTTCAAGACGTCATGAATTAAACCAGTCAATAATTTTGGTCAGACTTGTTTTCAATTCACTTTGCACATAGGAACATTATATTTAGACCATAAAATTGATAATGAAAATTGGGAATATGTCAAAAAGACAACAACCCTCACAAAGAGCAGATAACAGCGAGAAAATCTCGCACCCGGAGGTGTTCCTCTGCTGGCCCCTAAATATATATATGTACTAGTTCAGTGAACATGGACGTCATATTAAACTCCAAAAACATATAAATGAACTAAAATTAAAAAAACATACAAGACTTACAAAGGCCAGAGGCTCCAGACTTGGGACAGGCGCAAACATGTGGCGGTGTTAAACTGTTTTGTGAGATCTCAGCCTTCCCTATACTTCTAGCCAATGTCGAATAATGAAACACACAGTAATACGCACACAGTTAAACTCAGTTAAAGAGAAGTCCGAGTCCGATGTCAGAATAGGTAACAAAAGAAAATAAGCAAAATGACAAGATATATAAATTAACAAACAAACTACATTAATGTACTAGCAGTTACTGACATGCCGCCCAGACTTCAATTGAACTACTTGAAAGAGTATGTCTTCATCATATGAAAATCAAGCATAATCCCTCCCGATGGGGACTTAGTATCATACAATCATAAAAAATATGAGAAGAACATAACCCGTATATGGCAACAACTGCTTTTAGAATAAATTTGTTTATTTCCGATGCAAAGGCCTTATGAGTGAATAAATAATTATACCAAAATATGCAATTCTTAATGACCTGATAACAGTATCGTCACTATATCCCTTCCGAAAAAGTATGTTCAAAGGTTTGGTTAGCTTTTGAGGTGAATGCCGAAATGTTTGTGCCTTGTAAAAAATATTACCATAAAAAATGGATGTTAAATACCTGAATGTATAAGATGTTAATTTATATTTACGAATGGTGTCGTTGTATCGATGATAAAATTTAGTAAATGTTTTACTAGTTTGTGATATCGAAAACACTGTTGTAATATTTTTTTCAGTAGTTCAGAGATTTCATTTGTTGAGATAAATAAACAACATAAGGGAAAAGGGAACGTCACCATCTAAACATGAATGATTAATAATAGGAAATGAAAAATCGTCTGGTTTATCATAAATTTTAGTATTAAGCGTCCTATTAACAATATAGATATCAAGATCCAGAAAAGTGCAGTGTTCATCGTTAGTATGAGCTTTATTTAAAGTCAGTTCGGCAGGATGAATCTCTTTAAATAATATAAAAATTAGTTGAATCAAAACTGAGAGTTACAATGAAGATTCATTTTTCTAACATTATATAATAATGTTTTTAATATGATTATTCATATCAGATAATTGATATGTTAATCGGTACGCACCATCGATTAACTATTGTTACCTTAATTCATGAACTACAGAAATAGGAAAATTTGATACTTAACGTGCATGTCTATAAAATCAAACATGTCTTTTAAAAATCCCTGGGTCTAAAACATTTAATAAGATTTACATTCATCAGAAACGCACGAAACAAGGAATGATTATAACCAAAAACGTCAGGAGTACTTTGATAAAGATATGTATGACGATAAATCACATTATTTTCGAATGTAATCTAACAAGCAAATGTTTCAATTATCAACACGTATAGGAAATATGCTAATTCTCTTTGGTCGTACTCCAATGTGAATGAAGAAGTCATATCTTTTAAAAAATGTATACCATGAGTTTCAGATTGTGTTGTTGCTTTTCGAAGAAAAAAAGTTCCCACACGACAATGACCATTGCTGTGTCGCGACACTTTTCTTTGGAGGCTTTATTATACAAGAATTTATAATTTCTTCCTACTTGTGTTTATCGACTTCCCGATTACTATAAAGTTTGTTTTTGGAGTCATGCTGTGACACTTGAATTGGTATATTAGGACAAATTACCAATTGAAATCATACAATAATCTGCTTTGATGTGTGGCGTCAAGCATTGTCTCATGTCACATTAAATTAAATGGGAACATCTTGTATTCTTTGCTTCTGCAGTGCACTGAGATTTCGTTATTGTTTTGAATCGAGCACGTCTAAACCTCGTTTAGAAGGAATGCGCATCTGTGGTATTTCAATTTTTAGCCTGGCATGTTCTATAAGAAATAAATATAATGATATAGAAGACAGATAGTGATTAGACTTCCGAGATGGTTTTGTTCAGGCAATAAGTATGTGTTTGACAAAAAATAAGTATTTACGGACACACCTATTATTGCTTACCATTTATGTATAGATACATGTGGAATATAAACATGATAAAAAAATAAAGATTATATTCAATACAGATAAGCTTTTTGCCATGATAAACAAACACACGTTAACCGCTGAAAACATACATGTATATATTCTCTCAAGCTGATGTGTAAATATGGAAAATTATCTGTATCGTACGTATTATGAAAAAGAAATATGTACTATTAATGATAAGCATATCCAAATAATGTCAAAAATGCTATTCATTGACTAACCACATACACGTGTGATGTTTTATGGACGGCTAAGTGTCGTATTGCCTTTTTATATAAACCTGAAATAATGTTGTCTGACTTCTGGAATATTTCTAATTTTATTAACAATAAGTATCTTATTTTTCATGTATCTACATTTTGTTAAACAAAATATTTTTTTCTTCAGTTAATCAAATATCATTTCAACATCTAAGATCATATTTCGCTTCCATTTAGTCAGACAACGGAAACTATATCAGTAACCATTGATAACATCACTACGGACATATTCTTATTTTGATATAGTACTTCCCGGTTATTCAATTTTTATTTACTTCTTCATATACCGGTGCACTGGATTCATCAATGTCACAAGTCTGGTTTATTGTTGCTGTTAAATTCGTATGCTTTGTATTGTCAAGGTCCTCGTATGTTGACGTTGAAAAGTTCACACGGGTAGTGTCTTCATAATTGTTAGTATTCGACTCTGTAAAAATCCTCTTTGATCTGTAATTCAAAAGCACAAAAAACATGATAAATGTAAAAAATATAACGTAATGGCCTGATAAATAAAAATGACGATAGTGTTAAATCTATAAACTTGTGATGGTTGTAACGTGTGTTATTCAACAGTGTACAGGTACATAAGTGTATGCAGTAAACAAATTTATATTCGCGAATACTTTGTTTTGCGTTAAGGTATTTAAAGTCAACGTCAAGAAGATGTAATTTCATGATTTTTAAATCAACTTGATGTAATTAATTCGGAAAATTCCCAATTTTGATATTATTGCGTTTTTTTCTCCAAGCTTACGTGGAAAATAAAAATAACTCACGAAAAAGTTAGTTAACAGAAGCAGATATAATTATACTCAAGTATAACTTTCGAACGTATCTCAATCACTTGCCAACATTTTCTGTACAATTCGATAAGTTTTTTTTTTTTTTAAAAGACTGTTTTATATATATATATACAGTCCGTAACAGTGTTAAGTTATCAGTGAAATTCTATTTGCGGGACTTTGCTCTGATGACTGAAGCATCTATTATAGCAAATTTGAACAAATTTTCTGCCCAACCAAACAATTTAATCATAACTAGATCTGGCTTCTACTACGTGTTTGTATTACATAAAGAATGAAAATGAGAAATGTGTCACAGAGATAACAACCCGAGTTAAAAGACAGAACAAAGCCACCAATGGGTCTTAACACGGCGAGAAAAACCAGCACCCGGAGGATGATCTCAGCTGGCCCTTAAACAAACATGTGTACTGGTTCAGTGAAACTGGACGTTATACTGAATTCTAAACATATAAACCAACTTAAATAAAAAAAAAACATACAAGATCAACACAGTCCAGAGGCTCCTGACTTGAAACAGGCGTAACAATTCGGCGGGCAAATATTTTTAGTGAGATCTCAGCCCTCCTCCTATACCTCTAGCAAATCGAGATTAAACAAACACACAAAAGTTCGACTATGATGTCAGAATAGGTAATAAAAGAAACTAAGCAAAATGACAATGATACATAAATTAACAAAGCACTTCTAGGAGTTACTGATGTGCCAACTCATATCTGCATGTTGATTTTTATTTACGAATAACATGTGATGTCCTAGCTCCTTGTTGAAATCAAATACGTTATTATATACACGAGCGAATCAAACACGTTGAGATATCTAAACACCATTATATGGGGACAAGGGAACGTCACAATCCAAAAATGGAGGGGCCTCGGTGGCCGAGTGGTCTAAGTAGTTACTACTGAAATCACTAGCCAGTCAACACTGATGTTGTGGGTTCAAAACCCCGCTTTCGCGGCTGCACTCGACTCCAATTTTAATTGACTAGGATTGTCAGTTTTCCTATAGAAGGTCGGTGGTTTTTCCGGGCACTCCGGCTTCATCCACCAATAAAAACTGAGCGCCACGAAATAGCCTAAATGCGGTGCTTAATAGCATTAAAACACCAAAAATCAAATCAAATCTAAAAATGAATAATGATCAATATGAAATGGAAGATATTCTCTCTTATCATAACTTTTGGTATTAAGGTTCCCGTTAAAGATATATATATTTAGATCCAGGAAAGAGAAGTGACCATTGTAAGTGTAAACTTTATTCAAAGTCATTTCAACAGGATATGTCTTTAGTGCCCATACTAAAGTCGTCATTATTGTGAGCCAATATATCATACAAATATCTAAAATTTTTATTTAATTTTTTGTATCAGGTGTTGATTTGATGGGTCTGTGTTGGTTTAAGTCATAAATTAAAGCTCTAAACAATACGGAAACAGGTCAACAATAAGTGATGCACAGTTAGTCCCCATTGGAATTCCGATAACTTGACAATATACGGAATCTTTTGTTTGTACTGTTCCATGTACAACAAAGTAACTAGAGAACTTGACCATATAGTATAAGTATAAGGGTCTCTCATGTTTAGCAGAACAAATATGTTTGGAGAGTTGTCCCTTTGGCAAAAATACCACATCTTCTTATTCTTATATACATTTACTATTTGAAAATAAATAACTTGCAATTTACAACTGCACTTGCTATCTTATAATCTTTAAAGTCAGCATAGAATGTATACATTAACTTCTTCGGAGTATTTGATAAACAAAATAATCGATGAAGACAAAATGTTTCCTTAAAATCATTTGAAAGATTTCATAAAAAAAAAGCTAAGTCATTTTAATAACAAACATTAAAAGTAATTCATTTTGTTGTAGAAATGTGTAACTCACCTAATTTTGCATACAATCAGCAAAGCTAACACAATAATCATAGAACATGCACCTAGTATTCCACCAATCAATGCACCTGTTAATTTGAATATTATGTAAACATTTAATATATGGAGGGAAAATAAAAACAAATTGAATATATCAATGACACTGAATTACAGGTTCCTGACTTGGGACTGGCACATACATACAGAATGTGGCGGGGTTAAACACGTTAGCGGAATCTCAAACTCTCCCCCAAAACCCGGGACAGTGGTGTTACAAACTGAAATGCATCGACTATTAAAATTCTATTTATCATAAATGGTTCCTAACAAAGTTCATTACGAGTGCTAATTTGTCAATCTTAAGTTCGATGTTAATGTTTAACAGATACTCTCTATTAGTTATAATGTTCATTTGTCTAAATGTCTAAATGTCTAAATGAGGTGCAAATTCTGACTTTTCAAAAATTAATTCTCTGAAATACATGTTTAAAACTGTCAAGCATGAAAATTTTTAGTGTACAGTACAGTATAGCAAAAAAGGAATACCTGCACCAAACTAGAAACAAATTTTAAAGAGCATTTGTATATTCACCCACAGAAGTTGCGAAATGTTAATCATATGAAAAAATTTTGATATTTCCTTAGTTACACAATTACCAATAGTCATTTCCAAAATGTTAGTAATCTGTCATTTGCTTCCATATGCATTTAATTAGTCGAAACCACTCTTGATATCTATATTTTTATAAAAACCATAGACACACACTTCTAGTATAGAGTAACGAAATATTATATTTGTGATTAAAAATACTTATTCCAACAGCAAATACACCAAAAACAATGTAAAGTAAATCTAGTCCATTTTAATCGATAACAGTTCCTATCATAAACTAATACTTATCATTCAAAAATGATACTTTATGAGTTCTTCAATATCATGTTCAGATATAAAGATGAAGTTGTAATTCAAAGACCTACATTTCAACGCGTGCTTGAATCTCGTACACTATAGTTGACTATAACATTATAAGAACGAACGAAAATAGAATGTTGGCTTCATATCATGATTATTTTCTTGAAATTGATGCATGTGAACGATCTGTTACTTGACTTTTTAAACACATGACTATTTCAGCTTCTCCATTAACAACATTTTAGTTAGGCAACTAATCATTTGCTTAATAAATGATTCTTAAATATATCCATTGCTGAGTGTTTACTGAAAACATTTTCATTGTCGTCTTTAGCGGAAAAAGAATAATAAGAGGTTTATGTATAATAGCTGAAATCACCACTTCGCATGTTGAGTGGTCACCATCATGACAGTGAACTGGTGTTCGTAGATCTCCGTTTATTTAGTTGCAAATACAACCTAATTATAAGAAATAACTGTGACATGTGTAATAAGTCGCTAATCAATCATGCAATTTCCATTTTTTATACAACTTATACAAAACGGGTAAATGAAGGACAAACATTCTCTTGAAAGTACAATGACGGTACCTATATCAAGGCTAGTCCTAGAGTCTTTCTGCTTTGTCCTTGTAACAAGTGTACTTTGACTTTGGGTTGTAGCAGAAACGTTACCTAGAAATAAACAGTGAATACATTGTTATAACATGAAACAATAATATCTATACAGTTTGTGTGTACCAAAACATTCATACCGCATTCCTTATTTTGTTTAAAACAAGCAATGTGTACATAATAACTTTTGAACATATTTTCGATATTTACACATGTGAAATTTTGTCTATGTGAAGATGATCATTGGTATCAAATCTTCATTTGACTAAGAAGAGTGTTCACTGGTGGTTTTAATTGCCTTCCTTTGCATCTTGTTAATCCGATTGCCACAGACTTGTATTGAAAGATCGTTCTTTCTCCTCATGCCATTATAACTGGAGATAGGAAATAGGACCAAGTGTTCGTTATCACTATAATTGTTCACTTCTGGTCTCTTACTATAAACAATAAAATTAATAATTTTGTAATTAAATATATTTCCGCGCTCTATGTATACCTTACACCAAATTTTCACTATTTACCTGTGTACGTTATTTTATTGGTCGGTATTTTGTCCAAGGTTATGGTTGTCGTTCAGGTATTGTTTTACATCTAACCCCAATGTTTTATTATTTTTGTATTTAGATTGTGTCATAGATTAAATTTATTCGTTCAGTGTATGTTCACTTGTGTTTGTTAATATGTCTTTTGATTGAATTTAGCATATTCAATTGATATGTTATAGTGTGTCTTTCTATGTTGGGATGTAACGCTTTTGTTTCAAGGTAGGGTGAAGGTTGTCGCCTTTTGAAACGTCTAAACCCGCTGCATTTGGTTTCACCTGTCCTAAGTCAAGAACCTGACGTTCAGTGGTTGTCTTTTGTTGATGTGGTTCATAAGCATTTCTCGTTTCTCGTTTTCTATTTGGAATAAACATTTGGGTTTCCTGTTTGAATGATTTTGTTTACACTAGTCATTTGTTGGGACCCCTTATAGCTTGCTGTTCGGGGTGAGCCAAGGCTCCGTGTTGAAGGCCGTACTTTTATCTATAAGGGTTAACTTTTGCAAATTGTGACTTGGATGGAAAATTGTCTCATTAGCACTCATACATGTCATACCACATCTTCCTTTGTCTACTTATATTTTTAGATACGTAGGTCTATTTCTTACCAGCGGTAAACCACATGCCTAAGTGGGGCGTCCGTTTGGAGATGTGGGATGTAAAAGAACGTAGCCATGTCCGGTCAGAATAAGGACGTTAAACTTGATGTCTCGTGTAGAAAGAGTGATACGCTAGCTACACGTGTACAATCCTTGCAGAAACTTTTTGATGTGATCCGTAGGTGTCCTGTTGCAAGAATACTGTTTGCTATTATATTTACCCTCATTTTTCAGTTGGAGTTAAAGTCTTCCCGACCTTCAACCCTGACGGCCTGTGTTACTGAACTTGCCTTTTTTATTTATTGTCAATTTGTTTTCGTCTTGAACATGCATGCAATATTTGTCAATAGACTTTTAGCAATCAACAATCAATCAAACTCCATTCAACCTTGTTTTTTCGTCAATCAAAAAACATAATGACAAATTTTTCTGGCCTGAAATACATGTCATTCAAAATTGAAACTATCTCTCCGACTTCTTAATATCATCTGACCAATCATTGTTTACCATGACATTAAAAAAAGGAACGAAACTAAAATGTCTCTTTTATATTTGAATTTTTCCCTTGAAATAGATACAGGTGAACGTTTACATACTAGAATTACTGTACACACTGTTTCAGTACCTTCATTATACATGTATAATGTTTAAAGATATCAATAGACAGCGTTTCAACGTTTACTGTATATCACGCCCGTTACGACCTGTCTCTGTCGATATTACAACTCATGAGAGACTTTTATCTCTTTCTATTGTTAAGTTACAGGCTAGATTACAATGTCACAACATTTCGCCTTGTTTGTATCATTTGATATGCATATAGCTTTCAGTATTGGACAGATGGAAATAATCCCGTTCTAAATAAGTATAAACCAAGCCAAAAAAAAAAAAACCTTTATGAAAAGTTGTGCTTGAACCTTTCTCTGGTACCATTACAGCAATTAAACTTTTTCTTGTGGTTGTCGAAGAAACTGTACCTGGAAATAGTCAATCACAATGGTTTCAAAAGACAAAATGTTCTATATGCATTTTTATACATAATTAAGATTAAAATTCTACTCCTTGAAACAGTATGGCAAAGGGCTCTTCATTGTGTGAAAAGAATGTATCGTACTAAGAACTACATACATGTGAAAATGTTTGAGCTATAAAACAAGTTATCTTACATGCAAATATAAACGTTTACGATATACGTAAAGAAATTCAATAAAATGTAGATATTACTTCTTCTTGAATTAAGGTTTACCTATTTCACCAAACACAGTGTTCTACATTACAACATTTGAACTAATTTAAATGTGACTTATATACCTATTCTGCATACAAACTGTAACTGGCCATTACAAACTCGTCTGATAATATAAAACACTTTTTTTGCATTACTTTCCGTAAACGAGCCTGCTAAACAGTAGAGCGGTTCTTTGGTACCTGCTTCAGCTGAAAATAATCAAATGGTGTGTCATAGATATTTTTATTAATTATAAAAAAAGGATGTTGTATGATTGCCAATGAGACAATATACAAAATTACACAGACATTAACAGCTATAGGTCCCCGTACGGTCTTCAACAATGAGCAAAGCCCATACCGCATAGTCAGCTATAAAAACCAACGAAATCACAAATGTAAAACAATTCAAACGAGAAAACGAACGGCCCAACTATTGTACAAAAAAATTAACGAACATCAAATATATAACACAGCAACAAACGACAACCACTGAGTTACAGGATCCTGACTTGGGACAGGCACATACCTAAAGAATGGGGCGGGGTTAAACATATTAGCATTATTGAAATATAGATAACCCATCTTTTTTTAAAGAATGATCAACAACAAAAATTGGACTTCAATAAACTCATCATAGATACCAGGATTGAGATTTTGTATTTCCGCCAGACGCTCGACACAAAAGTCTACAAAAGACTTATAAGTGACGCTCAAATCCAAAAAAAAGTTTAAAACGCCAAATAAAGTACGAAGTTGAAGAGCATTGAGTACCAAAAGTTCCTAAAAGTTTTTCCAAATACTGCTAAGGTAATCTATTTCAGAGGTAGAAAAGCCTAAGTACTTCAAAAATTCAAAGTTTTGTAAACAGTTAATTTATTATTATGACCATATTAATTATTGTACATGTCAACACAGAAGTACCCCTCGGGGAAAGAAAACGCCACCAGCAGTTGCATCTACCCAGTGGTTGTAAATAAACTAATCATAAATACCAGGATTGGAATTTTGTATTTGCGCCAGACACGCGTTTCGTCTACAAAAGACTCATCAGTTAGTACAAGTGTCCTTTCCCAAACGTATATATACGGACTAACATGTGTACTTATATATCAAGTCATCGTCAATATAAAGTAATTAACTTCTAAAAAGTGTAGACATGGGCATTATAGCAAATTTATATGATTTAAAGTATTCAATATGTATGTATATGAACGTATGAATGTATGATTGCAAACGACAAGGTTGTTGTGATCAATAAAAACAATTCACAGATTGCGAATTAGTATTCTATGTTACGCCTTTATTGAAATAAAAAAAAAAGAATGAAAACAAAATGGCGTTGGATGATTTAACTTAAGTAGTATTTAACATAATCAAATTTTCATCCGATATGCAACATTTTGTCTAAGAAACATTCTGTTGGAAACTGATATGTTTTTATAGAATTTACTTTGTTGAATAGCCTATTCATTGGGCCCAAAATAACTGTCTCTGAACACCTCCCATACGACCAATGAACCATTTAATAAAATGCAGCGGATATTAAAATTGTTTAGTTTTTTTTAAGCAAGTATGTTTTTATTTTTCAAAGATAACTATTATTTTTTTTATACATTTTTAACCTTAACTCCCGTAATTGATGATGTTACCGCATGTTTCAAGGTTACCATCTTCAGAGAGATGTTGGACTGCGAAACCAATATTTGATGAGTATAGATGCAGTAAAAAACCAGGGAATGGCTAAATGAAATTAAAAGAATGCGAGACAGGGATTATTTATTGACACAGAGAAATGTATGCTCCCTTGAATCGGCCCCTTTGCTATTTTCTTAGATTTTTAATAGATTTGTTTAAAACCAATGTATCTATTTTAGATTTGTCATGTTTACTATTTACAACTCAACTCATGCATTGTCATGTATGTTTTTCAATCTTTATAATTTGTAGAAGTTTATCCCTCTAACATCAATGTATATTCCCATTGTTGTAAACCGTAACATAAGCCTTAATCTTTTCGGTTTTTGTCATCAAGATTACTCTTTTTTAAGTTCAATATTTAAACCTCAAATTATATGCCCAAATAGTTTTTTTAATATAAATGTGTCGATAAATTCATTTTTTTTCCTTCTAATTATCTGAACATACCGTTACTGTCATCTTTTGTGAAAATTATTACACGTCATCAATACTTTTTTTTAAAAACGTTTAGCTATAACAGTTGGTATTCCGCCAACATATAATGAATTATAGTCTGCTTTGTTTTTGAGTGAGCATACTTAAGTTATTAAAACCAAACTATAGTGGCATACAGCTGCCATCGAATTGAACAGTTGTCCAGATAATTAGTACTGCATATTGATATATTATTGTGATAAGTCGACATGTACTCTCGATATGAGACTTAATTATCTCAACAATCAACATGATGGAACTATTGAATCGACTTGTCTAGATAGACGTGTTACGCACGATGTTGATACTAGTGAGCGTTACACGCCGTTGCTTATTATTAGTCGATTTTGACTTTTTTTAAAAATGTGTGAAGCGTTCAAGCTTATATTTGATGAGATCAATTAACTGTAATGAATTCGATAACAGGATTTCGGTGTGTCGAAAAATGCATAGTTTTTTTCGATGTGACCAGATGGCTTTACTTTTTTAAGTCATTGCGATAAAAACTATACTCAAGTCTCTGTCAAAAAAATATGATCCAGGAATAAAGTTAATAAACTTTTGAAATATTATAAACATTTTTCAACGCATCTTTTTTCAATTTCACGATATATATGCGTAAACCCGATATATGCATACCTTGCATATGCTTGGACATTTTCCAGACCGTTTTCAAAAATGACATTTTCCGGTGAACGGTTTCAGTGATATTAATTTTGCTTTAACACGCACATAATTATAACAACAGTGTGCACACAAAATGTAACGTTGGACATTACGTTTTTGCGTAAACTTGAGATAATTAAGTGTTATAATTTTTGGTATTTTAAATTTCAGTTCCTATTTTTCTTTATTTTCAAGTCTATTGTAGTCTATTCAACCAAACATGACTATATTTTTATCTAAATGACCAGTCATTGTGTTAAAATGGAATTAGTACCAACATCGATCGAAACTTCATTGTTAACACAACATGTCGACATACTTATCGCGACAAAATATATCTAGACAATTAGTCTTGTGGTCGAGATGAAGCCCTCCTTCTGGTGCGGGATTTTCTCGCTGTGTTGAAAATCCAGTTAGTGGCTTTAAGCTGTGTTTTACTCTTTGGTAGGGTTGTTTTCTCTTTGACACATTCCCAATATACATTCTCAGTTTTAAGTTTGATTATTTCAGTTAAACGAACAAGTAAAACAAAACAATTCAAATATTATGAATGGATTTATATAAAGCATTGCACTTTATAACGCCAACGAGAACCTAATCTCTCCTTTAGAAGTGTTTTAGATTTAAACATTTTTATTACCCATGTTTTCCAAGGCTTTGCAAATACTTGCATTATGCTTCGTTACCAGAAAATATCGAGCGTGCATGATACAATGCACCACAGTTACTCATGTCGTTCAAATTGATATCAGACTTTTAATTTTCTGTATGTTAAAGATGTAGTTTTAACAAAATCAATGTACTATTTTCTGTTGACAACATTTGTTTCTCAATACATACAACGCATATCCATGTAACCTCAATTTTCAAAAATGTTCTATATAAACACTAAATAAAAAAGAAATAATGGTGCTTTGAACATGTTGAAACATCCAAGATATATGTCTATGACACTGATTTTACTGCAACGAAATGTAGGACAAATTTCCTACAATTGTCAAATTCAAGGGAATATTTTTGTCGACCCTTTTTAGTATGCAACTGGATGCGACGTACTATGATTTGGTAGTTCCTACAAGCCGCATATTTGAAAGTCAAGAATGTATAAAACCGAATCAGTTGAAGATCTTTATAATTAAAATGACCTTACATAATAGCAAAATCCTTCTAAGGCCAACTTTTAGATCGTAAAATACGATTAATTGTTTCACCTTTTGTCAGTTTAGCTGCGGTTTCCGCTCGAAAAACGTTTGTCCAAGAAGTGATTCCTTCTAATGTATGACTGTTCGTTTGGCAATAAGTCTCAGGTTGAAGTAAAAGCTGAGATTTTTCCAGACACAATTGATTGCTTGTTAAATACGGTTTACCCCATCCAACTGTGTACCCATCATCTTAGAAGAGATGAAAGCAAAATCATGAAAAAAGGTTAAAAATTTTAAATAAATAAAGTTAGAATTGATTGGTGTGATGTTAGGTCAAGCTGCCACAGTGTTATTTGTTTGATAATGGACAAAAATTGTTTGTTAATAGAATAGTGTAAAACAAATGTACCTCAATTAGGCGAACTGCCATCGTTTATTGATAGATTTGATAATTATGTAACGCTTAATCATCACATGATTTCTAAGTAGCGTTTATTTACTCAGAAAGTACAGAGAACAATATATGAATATAAATTTTGAATTGTATGTTTGATACGACTATAGTAATTTGAGGAATTCAAATGAGCACGAAGGGTAAACTGCTGCTGTTGATTTCATTTGAAATTTGAAAATATATATATGGTGACCTTATGATTACTTTAGAGTAGTCTCGTTTGTGTTCGTTTGAAAACATTTTAACCCCAAATTTTATGTATTGGAATGTTGATGTACATTGACAAATCAAACTTTCATTGAAGTTTGAAAAAAAATCTGTATTTAGACACACTGGCTGTCGTAAAGCCAGATTTTTGTGTTGGCCTGTAAAAATGCTAAGATAATAGAAATATAAAGTTACATAATAATATTTAAGACTCACATTTACTTCATTCAAATAGCAGTTCTTCATTTAAATAAAAGAACAGATTCAATTAAGGAATATGTCGTTTAGGTGTCAGTTCATGCCAACTTTGTTTATCATCCGTTGTTGGTGTCAATTACAACACATTGAAATTTCTTGAGCAAGTACAATCTAGTGATCACAAAAAGTGAATTATACACATAAAAAAGAATACTTACTACATCTACTGGCCCTTGATGTATCCGATGTATCATTACAGTTAGCTGATTGCAATCCGTTGCCTCCCGGATAACAGTATAAAGTCGTGCATTTCCCATCGACATTGCCAGAAACATACCCAGTGTATACTAAATGGGATAAGTATAAAAGAAAACATATTACGAATCCTGGTGTATTATAACAGTTAAAACTAGAAATTCACTCAGAAGGTAAATAAAAAAGAAATATAAATGAAACAAATGAGATAGGGAGAACATGCACAATAGTAAAACAGTTCAACAAATGAAGTAAAATGTAATTGACTGTTCTAAGAAAAATTTGCTTTGGAATGAAATATTGATTATATTTTTCCAACTGCGTACTAGTAAAATTGTCTTTACTAAGTTGTATTTAATTATTTTCAATAAACAAAAATAAAGATTTATATTCCATTTATGTATTAAACGTAATATGATTATTGTATTGTCTTGATATATGTGCTTATGCTTAAATTTTCATTTAACAATTATGGGTTCCTACCTTTATAAACGAAGAAAAATGTCGAATCAGGTTTGTCTATGCAATCACTTATATTATAGAATCTACTTTCATTGTGTTGACAAAAACATTTTTCTGTTAACTCCTATAAGTATGAAAAATATGGTACTTAAAATTACGGACAGCCCAGCAAAACAATCTACTTTAAAATCTTAGCTTGGTTATCTTAATCTAAAATGCCAGATTTTAGAATAAAATTGCATAATAATAATGAATTCTTTACGAAAGGAATACTTAAATAAATAGCGTTTTAGAATTGCAATATACTCTGATATGTATGACATGTAATATTAGTCCACGAACAGAATCGAGTAAATATTAATGAGATGCATACGAACATCAAAAATAAGCGAAATGATATGTAGGGTTGAACACAAAACTAACTATCTCGTCTTAATAAAAAAAACAATTCTAGTTGCGGAAACCAGACCAGTAAGAATATTAGTTATAATTAGACCAGAATTCACAAAATAATCAAAGACAAAGATTTGAACAACTACAAGTCATCATATACAACCCTCAACAATAAGAAAAAGCATTCCACATGGTAAGCTAAAACGTGAGATTTAAGAATGGGTAAATTAATTCAATTTCTAAAACATCGGGCCGTTAAAAGACAAAAAAAGTAAGATTATTACCAAACAACAAACAATAACTACTGGTTTATAGGTATTTTGCTTGAGACATGTAAGATTAGTCTAACCACGGAACTGATCCAAGACAGGCATATATAAAATGTGTCAGGGTTAAATGTTTTTATTAGCTTTAGTTGGTGACATTCATTTCAAAACTCTTGTTCAAACAAATACAAATACATGTATTTGCAATATGATTTATGAAATTGATAAAAACTAAGATAGTGTTTTTTCCTGATTGAACTTTCTTCATACATTACACTGTAGGCACAGCACTTTGACATTTACACGTACTTCTGCGTGCAAGAATTCGATTATCATATTTTGTAAACCATTCATTTGACAGATGAAGACGGGTATACTCTAATTGTTGTAGCTTCAATCTCGCCCCATTCTGCAGAATTTTCACCTTCCGAATGAGACATAAGACCGGTTTTATAGTTATATGACCAACACGACGGGTGCCACATGTGGAAAAGATTCTGGCTAACCTTCCGGATCACCTGAGATTAATATCAGTTTTGAAGGGATTCGTGTTGCGAAGTCTTTGGTTTTCTATGTTGTTTTTTTCCCTCTGTATTGCAGTTAATCTTTTTCTTTTTATCCATGGCTAGTTTATTTTTGACATATGAGTTCGAATATCCCTTTAGCAGTTTTCGCCTCTCTTGGAATCTAACCAACTATTCCTAAACTCAATTGACGTGATTTCTTCTTAGGTCCTAGAATAAGGCTGAGTCCGTCATGTTGATATATCTGATTTAGTTTCATCATTATTTACATTTTTTGTGGAGTGGCTTTTGTGTTCTATAGTTCAGTTATATAATAACTATCAATCGTTGGAGAAGACGTTACTAAGTTGAAAAACTTGTGTCTAATCTATTTGTCATTTTTGAACAATAAAATATGTTTGAACTAAAACTATATATCAATCGTTTCTTACTGTTGTCAACAAAACCATTAACATATGTAATTGATAATTTGTGTTACACAAAATTTGTTATAAAAATAAGGATATATGGCACGATAACCAATCAGACAAATATTCACCACTTGTCATTGAAAGTGGATGTATATGTAGAAAATGAAAAAAAAAAAAACCAGAAAAAACTGAAAATTTAGTTTCACTTCTGTAACAGTGTAATTTTTACCCGAATAATATAGACCTAATTACCCTTATCAACTGATTTTTAATTTCATGAGAAACACGACCGGTGACACATATGAACAGGATCTACTTACATTTTCTTCTTCCAGAGCACCTTAGATCACCCCCTATTATCGGTAGGGTTCGAATTGCCCAATTTTAGTTTTTTATGTTGTTTTGTGCGTACTGTTGTGTTTCTGTTGGTCCTTTTCTGTTTGGCCATGACATTGTCACTCCACTTTTGCATCTCCTATACATACCACTAGAAAGAGCCAATTGAACATTACAATCGAGGAAAATAGTTTAATTTTGGATGTAAGAAGTAAATGAAGTATTAGTATTGGCAAAAAGTTGGATGTCTATCAGCTTATAGGCACAGTTTTGTTCTGTGACCGTGACTTCATCAACGTTTTTTTAAGCTCACCTGGCCCAAAGGGCCAAGTGAGCTTTTCTCAACACTCGGCGTCCGTCGTCGTCCGTCGTCCGTTAACTTTTACAAAAATCTTCTTCTCTAAACCTACTTGGCCAAATTTAACCAAACTTAGCCACAATCATCATTGGGGTATCTAGTTTAAAAAATGTGTCCGGTGACGCGGTCAACCAACCAAGATGGCCGCCATGGCTAAAAATAGAACATAGGGGTAAAATGTAGATTTTGGCTTATATCTCTGAAACCAAAGCATTTAGAGCAAATCTGACATGGGGTAAAATTGTTTATCAGGTCAAGATCTATCTGCCCTGACATTTTCAGATGAATTGGACAACCCGTTGTTGGGTTGCTGCCCCTGAATTGGTAATTTTAAGAACATTTTGCAGCTTTTGGTTATTATCTTGAATATTATTATAGATAGAGATAAACTGTAAACAGCAATAAAAAATTGAAAACAACACGCTTAATAGTTTTATGCGTCCGAAGCGCTTTTATGGATTTACCTTCTTCAGGAACGCTCAATGCCAAACATTTGAAATTCGAGGGATGTACAATAATGTACAGCAAAGTAAGATCTACAAATAAGTCAACATGACCAAAATTGTCAATTGACCCCTTAAGGAGTTATTGCCCTTTATAGTCAATATTTCTTTAAGAAAATGTATCCCGTTCCTCATAAATTATGCTATAAACACATGCTAAACATGACGAATACAGCGTGACAAATACGTATATGAAGTTTTAAAAGGATAACTGCATTAGCCATTGGCTTTTGCTTTGTATATTTTGTATTATTTTAGGCTTTTGTTTATTTGGCATTGTAATGTTTCAGTTTGTTTGGGTTTGTTTCTTATTTGTTGTTGTTTTCCCTTAGAGGTTTGGAACTAAATATAAAAACTAAAATACGTAGACAGGGATTCATATTTTATGAAATTTAATACTTACACTATAACCAAACGATTGATATACTTCACATTGCTTTTGGCATAATACAATTGAAGGGCTTTTTGTAACTTTCTGACCGTTTGGCAGTGCATAACAACCTGTTTAAAACACATTGAGTTGATAACATCGTCAAAATGGAAATGCAATAGCATAAAACATAATAATTCAGTTATATATCGTAGCGCTTTTATATTAAGAATGAAAATTTTGAACTAAATATACTTTTGGTTCAAAAATACACTTGCAAATATAAGGGTCATGCTCTAATATGATTATTAGAAAAATAGCATTTGTATCTTGTCTGTGAGTGCTTAACTTTACTTCAAAAATACAATAAAAACAAAAACTGAATTTTATTTTGAATAAACTGTTTAAAACCAATTATATCCCCTATGTTTATATTGATGTAACCTGGTGTAACGGTGTTTTAAACAGTTCAGGTTTAAATAAGAAGATATGGTATGGATGTCAAATGACAACTTACTACCAAAGTTCATACAAAATAAATGTAAGAAATTATAGGCAACCGAACGGTCTTAAAATTTTCGCTCTTAAGAATTTTATTTCAATTCGGTTTAATTTAATTCAATAAACAATCACCTTTTCCGCATACCTTTAAATAATATCAAATAAACAAAACATATAGTTTGCCACAGTTTGTCTTTAAAAAAGAGAGGCGAACCCGATGGACAAACTCATGAGTCGAACATAAACTGACAACACCGTAACTAAAAAAGAAAACGACCAACACACAAACAATAGAACACAAAACACATCATAGAAAACTAAAAACTGAGCAACACGAAGCATACCAAAAACTAGTAGTGATTTCATGTGCTTTGGATGGGTAATCAGATTATGCTCAAAATGTGTCACCCGTTGTATTGCTCATGTAAGTGCAAACCGATAAGAAGTCTAATTTGGAAGGTCACATTCGTAATCAGGGAACAGGTTTGTAGTAACGACATTAGGAACATTTCCGCTATTGTCGGATATTATATAACGTTCAAAGAACTCTTGATGGCATCCCTAAAACTTTCGAAGTGACGATTTCAACTTCACCACTTGGAAGACTCAGGAGAGCCATGGTGTAGTGGTTAGCGCATCGGACTACTAATGTAAAGGTTCCTGGTTCGATGTCCGTTCCGGGGAGAAAATTTCAGGGACTGAATTTTTGGCTCTCTCTTGACACCATTTGCGAGTATGGTCTTGAGAAACGATGATAGTCCGTCGGAAGGGGACGATACATGGCTGACCCGTGTTAAAAGAGAGCCATATCTCTTGCATGTTAAAGACACCCTTGTAGATTTCGAAAAAGAGCAGGCTAATGCCACTACAAGACAGCACTCGCACCCGCAAAGTCGAAAGGGATTAATATAAGCTGCAATAAATTGTTTCCCAATCCACTATAAATAAATATGTTTAAACTAAACTAAACTAAACTAAACTAAATCACTTGAAATTCTTGGTTTAAAAGTTTCATAGTAAGCAGCAGCCCTCTATCATGGAACTTATGATAGGAAATACAAGCCCTGTCGTATCAGCAGGGAGATATAGACTCTGTATGCAGGCGCTGCTTTAAATTTATTCTGCTCATTTTTTGGTTTGAGTTAAAAAGCAAACGATAAACCATTATCGCTATTTCTAAAAGTGGCAAAACAAGATGAAAATAAAGTGCACTATATCATTGTATCTTTATGCCAGGATTTAAAATTCCGTTTGTTCGATGTTTCTACCAGATGTAAATGTCAGTTGGGCTCATACACAGATATATAGAAGACTATTATATTTCATAAATATAATGAACGTTCAGAAAAATTGAAATTGTTTAAAACATAGCAATTCTATATATTTCAATGATTTGAAATTCATGCTTGCCTGAACAAAGGTTTTTGTATTTGTTCGATATACCTGATATAC